ATAATCAAGCATGAATGTGCATATCCAATCATAGGGAAAGCATGCATCCACCAATAGAAATATAAATAAAATCAAAGGAAAAATTCGTGTAGAAAGAATGGGTTAAAAGGGAAGGGAAAAAAACTGGATATACCAGACAAAAAAGCCGCTTCATACCTTATATATAAATATAATAATCAAATAGTAATACTTCATACCTGTGGCAATCAAGGGGACACTCCACCTTGCCACAGCGGGGCCTTCCGTTATAGAGGACATCACCTATGCAAACGGCAGTCACTATCCCTGCTTAGATCTGTGGCTCCATCAAGCTCCCCCAATGCCAGTATTGATGGTAGTGCTTAGGGGGCCTGCAGTAATGATTGACACTCCTTCTCAAAGTGGGGGATAAGTTTTTATGCTGTGGCTCAGACAATATGTGGAAATCGATGCGGCAGTCCATGCTAATTATAAAGTAAGTTAGAAAATTAAGCTATATTCCTCCACCTCCTTTATGGAGCTATTAAAGGGTTTAAAACAGTCCTTAATCTAATCAAAATGGGTTACTATTAGAAATATAACTATATTTAAAATAGTATTAAAATGCAAATTTTTCGCAATTGCCCTCTTGGCCAAGCGGCTAAGGCACCTGTCTTGTAAACAGGAGATCGCTGGTTCAAATCCGGCAGAGGGCAATATTATTTTGGTCTTTTGCTGATCTTCCCAAAGCCTCCTTTGTGAATCGACTTAACGGTGGTGTACTCATGAAGCAATCCAAGGGTGTCAATTACTAGTAAAATTAGGCCTACTCTAGCTATTTAGTAAGCTTTTGAATCGGGTACTAGTTACCCGCATATCAGGGTAATGTACATGATTTAAAGTCCGGTCCATTTATACTATAAATTATTCCGTCGCGGTTTACCAGGCTTGTTTCTCTAGTACTATATTATTATTATTATTCTAAAGCATAAGTGATATATTTCTACCGAGTACTTAACTCGTCTGTCAATCTGTGTGAGATACGCTTGAGTTATCTACCAAATCATAATTTATTGGGGTAAGATTTTCGGATCTAAAGTTAATATCCGTGTAATTATATTATCCGCATCTTGTTTAACATTCTATATGACTGTGTTAGACCTCTCTCGTGTGTGTGCACTCCTACATGTTAGTTCAGCGACCCTTCCTTGATTATTAGTTATTTTAGCCGTGGCTTCACAATGGTATATGGCCCCTGGTCGGGCTATTGGTCACGTAGAGAGTAGTTTTGAATAAAATGCAAAGGGAACCAGTTTATGTAGACGGGTATCGGTGGCGGTAATAGTAGGTCGGTAGTATAGAAAAACTGCCAGACACTGTCTACTCTAGTAGGACTGTAGCCTGAATATCAGTACAAAAATCGGGGGAGCACAAAAGGAGGTGCGTATTTGCGTAAGCAAAGAACCGGGTAGGTGTATCTGGCATCCCTTGGTAACTCGAAGGGCTGGGTCCAGTAAGATAAATAGATTTATAGAGGCACCCCCTATTCCCGCTAGACGCAGTGCTTGTATTATTAAAGGGATTTCAGAAAACAATCACACGGAAGCGTGACGTGTCCGTTATACCCCGGGGCTGTCAATGGAGGGAGAGAGGGGCTTAACACTTAATCATGCATCCATAACATCGATAAATGGCTGGTTATACAGATGTATTGAGAGTGTTGGCATAATGATCCCAGTGCTTCCTTACCAGTAAGTACTATTGTTGTTGATTTTGGTCTTAGCCTTCTGACTTATATCTATAACACCAGGGCTGGGCGGCGTGGTCATTGAGGTGGTGGCCAACAAATGAATCTCAGATAATCAAATTATGGCGATTTCTACTTTTATTATTATCGAATACCTTCGCCCTCAGGTCAGGCAAGAGCGTGTAGGTTCAACGAATAGAGCTAGCTAGTGGGACCCAAGACAGGGCTAGTAAGCGACAGCTCCTGTATCTGCGGTTTGTTTATTAGCCAGAAATGCCGATGCCAATTTTAAAAAGGTTACGGTTGGATCCGGTATGAATAAAGAAGTATTTTCATTCTGTTCGGAGAGGGCTCCTTTATATGCCTCTTGTGTTGCAGGGAGCTTCCCTTCTTTGTGGGGTTACTTTGTTGATTTAAAGAAGCTACAAGCCGATGATTCATGTATACCCTTCAATTAATTTGAAACCAGTCGTGCCCGTCCATTGGCGTTGCTAGGTAGGTGTATCGGGTGAATTATCTTCCCAGTTTAGGCTTCTTCACCATTCTCCCCTTCCTTCCATTGAGCTATTTACTTTATGGTAGGATCCCTCTAACCTCTTTTTACCCATTCGCATTCTTTTGTTTATAGAATATCCTATAGAATTCATCTCCATTCAATTTATCTCCAGTTGGACATCTCTTTATACGTTTGCCTTTTATTAGGCCCTCCCCTAACAAAGCGACGCCATCTTCCACCATGGACGCCGCTGTAGCGTCACCTGTGGGCCCTTTCACCCAGGTAGCTTCCCTGGTGGGCCAGCCCGGCGATGCCCTCGTTGCTCTAAGCGAGACTCCACACAGACTAGCCGAGCGACTGGGTCAAATCTTGCCCCCTCTGACTGCCAGGTTGGACCAGGCGACGCCCTCCGCCGAAGCCTCTGACCCCAGCTCTTCCGAAATCACGCTGGGCCTTGACACCATCGTACACGACTTAAATGGACACGACCGCGGCCTTAAACGCTTCCTGGCCCTACTCGAAGAAAAGCTTTCCGCGTCCCATGCCGATCGGGAGCGACTGGTGACTCACCTGACCGCCCAGCTAGAGGAAGGTAAAGCCAGCCAGCGGCTCCACGCGTTGACCCACGAACAAGAATTGCACCACTTGGAACGCCAGAATCAACAGTACCAGGCGGCCTTGACCAAAGCTAACGCCCGCCTGACCGCCCTGGAGAAAGACCTCGCGGCGGCGTTGCAGGCCTCCCATCAGCACCGGGACATCCTGGCCCAACGCGATACCCAGAATGACGAACTCCGGGAGCAGATCCAGAAGTTGCAGCAGCGGTTAGAACGCGCCGAGGTCGATAAAAATGAGCGGGTCGAACAGCTGGACCAGCGCCTCCAGGAGATTGAACGGGTGGAGAACCGCTGCAATGAGCTGAGCGCCCAGCTCGCCGAGGCGAAGAACGCCGCGGCTCTTAACGAAACCCACATCCAGGAGGCCAAATATAACGAGACTACCGCCAAGATTCAGCTGGCCAGCAAGGAACAGGAACTGCATCTTCTGCAGCGCAACAACGAGTCGCTCAACGCCGAACTGAGTACCAAGTCCGATCTTTTTGCCAAATACCGCCAGGAGACTAGCCGGCAGGTCACCGAACTCAAGGCCGACACCGATCGACAGTCCGCCGAACTCCAAGCGGCCCAGCAGAACGCAAGTCACCTCCAAAAGCGGCTCAACGACCAGAGTGAGCGGCTGGAAGAGGCCTTGAACCGCGCCCGGGAGACCCAACTCCGCTTAGTGGAACAGGAGGAAGGGTTTAAAGCGGAGATGGGCACTCAGACCAAACTGGCCCAGCTGTGGGAGAAGACGGCCAAGGAGGCCAAAGAGCGCATCCAAGACCTCGAAGACTATAATCAGCAGCAGCAACTTGAACTCGCCGATAAGTCCGAGACCTGGGCCGCCGAACGGGCGGCGCTGCAGGATACGGTGCATTCCCTCAAGGAGCAGTTGGCCACGGCCGACCTGCAGCTCGAGAAACTGCAAATTGAGCTCAAGAACATCAATGGCTTGGTACTTGCCAACGCCCGCGGCCATTTGCCTAAGGCTGCTACCCCGAGCATGATGCTCTCCCCGACGGCCGCACTGGCCAGCCAAGTCCAGCGCAGTGGCAAATCCTTTACGCAAATCTACTCCGAAAACGTCAATCTCCAGGATCAATTGCGGGACGAGCAGAAGGAGTCCCGTCGCCTGCGCGAGTGCCTGGATCGGATCGTGAAGGACATCGAGGAGCGGACGCCTATCCTGAATGAACAGCGCCGGGCCTACGAACAGGTATGTGAGCAGGCCGAGCAACTTGGTGGTCAGTTAGCCGAGGCCCAGCGGGAGAAGGACGAATCGGTTCGCCAGGCGGACGAACTTCGGGCCAGCCTGGATCAGGTCCTGACCGAGAACCAGGCCCTGCAGCAGCAGGTGCATGATTTGGGCCGGCAGGTCCAGACCCTCCTCCGGGAGGTCGACGAAACCCAACACGCCGAAAGCCTAATGACGGCCGATGGATCGGTGATTAGCCAGGCCCGCACCGACACCGACCGGGTCATCAACGAGCAACTTACGACCTTCCGCGATATCCAGGAACTCCAGCAGCAGAACCAGCGCCTCCTTCGGGTGACCCGGGAATTGGCCGACCGCATGGAGCGGGAGGAACAGGCCGCGAGTCAGAAACTCACCGAACGCGAATCGCAGGTGATGAAGGACGCCGAAACCTTAATCACCGAATTGCGCGATGAGCTCAAACTAACCAAGACCAAGCTTCAGTCTTATATCCACGAGCGGGATATGTTGCAGCGGATGCTGAACCAACACAAACCTTCGCAGCAGCAGCAGCAGCAGCGAAAGGGCTTCGGTGCCGATGTCCCCACCCTTGCGTCACCTCCGCTGGGCGGCGTCCCGGAAACCCCAACCCCAAGTGGCCGCGCCCCCGCTGGCAACGTGCCGGCGTTTAATGCCGGGGCCGGCCCTAGTCCCAGCGGACTCGACTACCCCGCCCTGCTCCACGAACTACAGGTCAACTTCGATAATTACCGGGCCGAAAACGGCATTGATCTTAAGCACCTGCAGGCCCAACTGGACACAACCCAACGGGAGGCCTCGGAACATCGCCTCCAGCATGCCCGAGCCCAGGCGCAGGTGGACTTCCTCAACGAACGCTACCAGGCCCTGGTTACCAACGGCGAGGCCCAAAGCCGGGATCTTCAACATCTCCGTGAGCGACTGGCCCAGTCCCAGGAAGCCCTGACCCAGGGTGAACGAAAGAACCAGCAGGCCGTCCAGGACCTTCTCGAAGCCCACGAGAAACTGGAGCAGGTTAAACACGAGGCCGCGAACCTGCGGGCCGAGAATCAGCTGGTGAAGTCCATGGAAACCCGTCTACTCCAGGAGAACGAGTCTCTACTTAAGGAACGGTCCCGCCTCAGCGATCTCATGGTCGGACTACAACGCGTGCAGAACGAGTTGGAGCGGTCGGAATCGGACGCTAAGCGCCGCTTCGAAAACCAGGTCGAAAATCTGGAACGCTCCCTCCATACCGCCCGGGCTAAGCTCCAGGAAGAGGTAGACCTGAACAAGAGTTTGACCTTCCGCCGGGAGGCCGAATCCCAACGCCACCAGACCCGCATTGACCAACTCGTGGCCGATCACCAGAAGGCCCGCGAACAACTGGTGGCTGCCCAAACCTCGGTGGAACATTTGCAGAACCGGGTCGACGATTTGACCAACCAGCTGCGAGTGGCCGAAGAGAACGCCAAACGAAGCGGAGCGGCCTCCCACGCCATTCCGGGCACCTTGACCTCGACCTCGACCTCGTCGCCGCCTACGGCCGGATCCGGGGATTCCGCCACGCTGGCCCAGGAGTGTAACCGCCTGCGTGAACAACTGGCCGAGGCCCACCAGCAGATTGAAAATCTGAAGGAGCGCGTGGGACAATTCCAGGC